GTAGGGGGTGTATAGAATATAGAAGGCTGCCCATCAAGGACTCTCTATCATCATTTACGATTCTATCTCTCCCTCTTCCTTCCTCCCAGAAATCAATAATAATAACAAAAAAATTTTTTTAAAAAGAGCCTAGCCCTAGCTGGTTTGTCTCAGTGGATAGAGTGTCGGCCGGTGGACCGAAGGGTCCTGGGTTTGATTCCAGTCAAGGGCACATACCTGGGTTGCAGGCTCGATCCCTGGTAGGGGGCGTGCAGGAGGCAGCCAATCAATGATTCTCTCTCATCATTGATGTTTCTATCTCTCCCTTCCTCTCTGAAATCAATATATATTTTAAAAATAAATAAATAAAAATTTAAAAAAGAGCCTATATAATCAATTCCTATTCTTATTGTGTTTATGCAAATAACCAGGGCAAATGGAAACTAAACTTAATGTAGTAAATAAATTGGTCTTAATTTGGCTCATTAATAAAAATGAGGGTGATTTTAGGGGGAAAATTTGTTTCAGCAGACTCTGTAATACACAGTTGTTAATATTGGTCTCCAATTCAATTAATTGTCTTTAAAGTTTCATTTTTCACTTATGAATTGAACTAAATCCTGAATTTACCTATTTTCTTAAATATTTAGCTATAACTCTCTAAATTAATGCTTCATTTTCTCCCATCCTTTGACTTGGAATCAGTGGGTACTAAAACACGTTTCTCTCTGCCTACAACAATACAACTCAGCAAATGATGTAACTAACCTACTTGAGGTGAGTGGGGGTGGGGTGGAGTGGGAATCTAGTAAGACTATGTTGCATACTCTTCTCTCTTACATCAAGGTTCCCTCATCTTGTTTCGAAAGTAAGACTATCTTCCTTTTTAAGGCTGAGTTTTACATCTGGGCTTAGTCTCATTTCCTTCCACTCTCTTCCAAGACACCACTGTCTGAAATAGCATCTTCTTCCCCTGTAGTCACTTTAATCATTTCCTCTCTATTGGCTCCTTTCCTTCTCATTGCACATATGGAGAGCCCTTCGGTGAAATATTATGAAATATTATTCAGGCCAGTTTCTGAAACAGCAGAGGGCATACCAATTCTGGGGGGAAGAGGGAGAATGAAGTGTGTTAAAAAATGAATTTCTAGCCCTAATCGGTTTGGCTCAGTGGACAGAGCGTCGGTCTGTGGACTCAAGGGTCCCAGGTTCGATTCTGATCAAGGGCATGTACCTTGATTGGGGGTGTGCAAGAGGCAGCTGATTGATGTTTCTCTCTCATCAATGTTTCTAACTCTCTATCCTTCTCCCTTCCTCTCTGTAAAAAATCAATAAAATATATTTTTAAAAAAATGAATTTCTACACGTTACTAACAGATCTGATTCATTAGCTCTGGGAAAACCACTCGTTACATACATACAACAAACCAGTGATTGTACCTTAAGAATAAATTAGGATTATATTCAAGTTTGTATTACATATAACTTTTTTTGGAAATAGGTAAAAAAGGCATTTACGTTTTATGGTAAAATAATTGGGTTGCATTAAGTAAAAAAATTACTGAATGTAAAAAATTACTGAATGTAACATCTATCTAATCAAAGGTATTAATTACAAGTCTGTGCATTGACATGTAAATGTGTGATTTGGCACCTGTGTGTTATGACAACCTTAGGAACCTCAAGAATGCGGGGAGCTTCCAAAGATGCCTGAAGAAGACCATCCATTAACTTGAGTAATATTCAAAGTAATATTCACTTTGGGAATAAAAAGTATCCAAGATTCAGAGAAAATTCCAAAGTGATAAATCCTAGATGCAAAGAGGATCATTAATGGCATAAAAGGTAAACACACAAAAAAGACTGAGAAAGCTGAAAATAAAATGATTGATCTGGCATTCCTTAAAGTCCAGCTATGGGAAATGGTAATCCCTTGTTTATCCATCTGAAAACTCTAAATTGTATGATGCAAGAATAATCCTGGAATGTTATGTTGAACTATAAAGTCTGATAAACGTTCAAATCACCACCTCTGTCTATTTGTGATTCTTCCTGAAATACTTGAGATCTTGGTCCATGAAAGAATATATTTGCTTTATTGACACTTTACCTTCTGGGAAAACCCAACCAAGGTAAACACACTTTACTTGACCTCAAAGCTAAGCTTTAGAGTCCGCTAAAGCTGTCATCTCATTTCTTTTTCTTTCATTCATTCACATTTACTAAAGATTTGACTTCTAGCATTTTTTATTAAGAATTCATACTTTAAATCACTTGGACACAGCTTCTAATTATTCTGTTGAAATGACACCAAAAGGTCAATTGACTAAGTCTATTCACCTGGTTGACTTTTCACACATGCCAACAACCAAATCTTTGAAACTTTCCCCCTTTCCACTGGGAAGCCGTAATATTCTTAGTTTTCTTCTTAACTCTGGCCCATTTAATCTCCTTTGTTGGCTCTTATTCCTCTTCCCAAAATGCAGAAAATCCCCTAAGAGTTCATACTAAGCCCTTGATTTTTTAAAAAAAATATATTTTACTGATTTTTTACAGAGAGGAAGAGAGAGGGATAGAGAGTTAGAAACATCGATGAGAGAGAAACATCGATCAGCTGCCTCCTGCACAACCCCTACTGGGGACGTGCCTATAACCAAGGTACATGCCCTTGACTGGAATCGAACCTGGGACCCTTGAGTCTGCAGGCCGACGCTCTATCCACTGAGCCAAACCGGTTAGGGCTAAGCCTTTGATTTTTATCTGTATCCAGGATTGGTTGGTTGCATTCCTATGCCTGACTCATCAATTTTGCTGATCTCTATCTCTAACCCTGATGTCTCAACTTCAGTCCCACATTTTCAGATTGTCTGCTGTACATTTCCATTCAAACATCACCGTAAGTTCACTCTTTGAAATAAAACTCCTTATTACTGTCCTAGGAAACCAGCTGTTCACCCTGAATTCCTTATTTCTGTTAATGGCACCATCTCTACAAACTCAAAGGCTTAGATACTTCAGTGAGCGTCAGCTGATCTCCCCCAATCTTTGACAAAAATCATCGTTGCATTTGGCTGATCCTTCCCTCCAAATGTTTCATGTATCTATCTGTTCATTGTTTTCCAGTCCCATAGCTAGCACCCTGGTATAAGTCTTTTAACTTTATGTCTGAAATCCCTGACAAGGAGCTCCCCCAAGTCTGGAGGCACAAACTCCTCACATTGGTACACTCAAGACTCTCTTCAATTTGGACTTATTTCTGGGGGCAGACAGTGCAAGGACAAGACTAGATTCTTCATTGATCCCACCTTTGCTCATATGAGTTCTTTCCAGAAGATTTTGATAAAGTTTCTAATACTTGCTAGTCTATTCAAATGCCACCAATATTTCTGGGCAATTTAACTTCCATATATATATCATTATACCTTCCCAGAAAATTCTAGCCCACAGTGTAACTCTTCTTTTTATTTAAAGCCCTTGTACTGTAACCACTATACACATCTATGATACCTGCTGTTTTACTACTTTTGCCATGCGTGTATATAGAGTAGACATTAAATGAACTATTTAAAATCACGGACTAAAGAACTATTACAACTCTGATTTAGAAATGCCCTCATTTCTACAGGTATTACTTTCTATATTTTGATGAGCAATAAAAGAATGAAACTTATTATAGGCATAATTTTTAAAAACAAACCAGATCTAGTCTATAGAATATTATTGAGGATTATTTCCTAGCAATCCCACTGGTACTTCTGAACAATCCCACATTCCAAATGAATAGTGCTCTTAAGATACAACTTGCAATAGCACTATTAATTTTTGGTTCATATTCTATATGTTCATTAAGCATTTTTAGACACTATGACATAATCTAAGCACTGTATCACTGGATTATGCAACATCAATTGTCTTGGGAGAAGGGAGTTAGTGGGATATGCTTTCCAGTGCCTACTATGTGATATATTGATTTGTGATAATGGCTCTGCAGTACAGGAAGAGGTCCCTCACATAACGTGCCTTCAGAAAGTCAGTCAGTGTATGAAGCTTTTCAAGGTGACCTTAGAAGAGTAATTTGCCATCTTTAGATCAGTAGCTGTCATCACTGTCTAAAAGCTGCAGGTATCACAGATGACACTTCCAAATGGAACCTGATGAAATGCAAATCTCACAAAAGAAAGTAAGATTTAAAAAAATACAATGTTAGACATTTAACTACAGAAGCTGCAGCTTAAAGAAAGTTTAGGATACAGGGTCAATATGTTTACCAGATAAAAAATTTCAAGGCAAATTTTCCCAAACTTTCTCTTGAAATTTCTAAAACTTTTCCTAGAATCCAGGAGTTTGAAAACTCAAGAAAACATTTACCTCTTCTGTTTCTTTTTCTTTTTCTTTTTTTCACCTCTTCTGTTTCTGTGTTTAGGCTGCATACATCCTTTCGTGGGATAGCAGAGGCTAAGATCCACTTGAGGAGGAAATCTTTACGACTAAATAAAGAGATTTCTTTCTCTTCTTTGGCTAAGAATATGGTTATATTCACCTGAACTCAAGGATAATATGATGTAATTTTACTTTATAGTGGTTATACATTTTATTTTAAACCATTCTTGTGTGTGTGTGTGTGTGTTTACTGATTTCAGAGAGAGTAAGGGAGAGGGAGAAAGGAATAGAAACATCAATGATGAGAGAGAATCATTGATGGGCTGCCTCCTGCACGCCCCCTACTGGGGATCAAGCCCGCAACCCAGGCATATGCCCTGTCTGGGAATTGAACCGTGACCTCCTGGTTCTTGGGTTGATGCTCAACTACTGAGCCAAACCAGCAGGGCAGTGGTTATACATTTTAGTAACTATATTCCTGAAGAGTATAAGGAAAACAGAGAAGAACAGGATCCATCAAAAATTTTTTTAAAAGGGCTGGCTATCTTAACATTATCTGGTGATACCTGTTTGATAGAATAGTTTAAAAAAAGAAGTATTTCATTAAAAATGGTACTAATATAAAGGACTTATTTCCTCACCTTTTTGGACCTCCAACAACGGCAGTACACAGCTTTATCTCCCAAATCCTCCATGTCAAAAGCATGTACGACCTTGGGGTCATCTTTCTGAATGTGGAGGTTAACCATGTTTTTGTTGCGATGATCTTTAACATAAAATTTTTTGTAAGCTAGATAACCAATTGCAGCTGTTCCAGCAGCAATGGTAACTGCTGCGATCCATTCAACTAGAGCAGAGGAGAAAAACAGGAATAATTATCAAAATTATTGATAAATATGTATAAAATATACACTAATAATCTAATATAATGTTCAGGAAATCCAATTTTTGAGCATTTAGCATCTCAATAATCAAAGTTGGTTTTTAATATTAACTTTATGGTCAGATCACACTGATGTAAAACTTTGTTAAGACTTTCCCCAGCCCATAGCAATGATAGCTAAATTACAACAGAAGAGGGAAACTTAAAAATCACTTTATAGATAGAGAAAAACAAGGCTTAATAATATTTTTAAAGAGTTCATAAAAAGATTTAAAATAACATGTGAGTCTATAGATACCAATTGCTCTAAAAAATACAGACAAAACCATCCTTAATAGTAAACATTCAAAGGGATAAATCCGACATGATTCTGGGCTCCAAAGTCATTAAAAAGTTGTTTCTTTACATTTCAAAGTGCCGCCTCATTAAAATAAAAATCAGAATGGACTAGTTTCATATTAAACATGAGTAATATAATTACAGTTATATTCTCATTTAATAAATTCCGATTTTTCATTATCCATCAGTGGATGATTATCTAAATTCCCTACAAACTTCATTTTAAATTTAATGACATTTTGGGGGTTGAGGAGCTGGGTGAAAAAGGCGAAGGGATTAAAAAGTACAAATTGGTAGTTACAAAATAGTCGCAGGGATATAAGCACAGGATAGGGGATATAGTCAATAATACTGTCATAACTATGTATGGTGCCAGGTGAGAACTAGAGTTATCATGGGATCACTTTGTAAGTTATATAATGTCTAACCACTAAGCTATACACCGGAAACTAATGTAAAATAATATGGAATGTCAACTGTAATTGAAAAATAAAAAAAATAAGTTTAATGACATTTTTCTACTCAATTATTTGCTTGACCAACAGGCCATCTATTTATTTTTTTCTACATAGCTTTCTTTTTCAAGGAGCCCTTAGAAACCCAAGCACTTAACAGCTACCCCATATCCAGAGACTGCTGGAGAGGAGAAAGTTCTGCATAGTCTGGTTAGCCTCAGAGGACAGCTGTCTATTCCCAGCACGGAGTGGACTGCAGGAAAAAGTTGAACAGGGGTCAGGATAAACACACTGGACTGCTTCCCAGCACTTCCTGAGTTAGATCTTCATAGTGTTTGAAATAAGTTCCCAGACTATCAAATAAAGCCCTAGAGAGATAAGTATAAAAAACACATTCCAAGGCCAAATAAAAACATATAATGAGTAACTAACTGTATGGCTTAATTTGCACTATTCAGTCAAATGTCTTATTAACCATCGTACCCACCAGTGCCTTACATAAAATTGGAACTAATTCTTACAGAACTCTATGGGAAAAGAATAACTATTCTCACACTTAGTTTCTTTTATCTTGGTCTTCTCTTAGCTTATTTAATAATCTAGTGTTTACCAATGCTTCTAATTAACATGTTCCTTGTATTCTATTTTCAACTACAATATTTTTCTCTACAAAGTAATTTAGTTTGTTTTCCTTCCCCCAACATTTCCATTCCTCCTGCTATAATCCCATAAAATAAACATTAGTGCTATGTTCTTCCCAGGTGCTGCATGACTGAGAAAACAAGTTAATAAGTCATTTGACAGCTTCAAACCTTTGGCCTCACTGAAGGATGTGTTTTAACTGAACATTTTGTGTAGGTTTGTCTTGAATTTTAGTGCTGCTTCACAGTATTTCCCCATGGCAATTCCAAGCAGGGCTGAAACTTTGCTCTAATTTCTAGCTTGATTCATGATTTTTTTTAATTTTAAAAAATATTTTTATTGATTTCAGAGAGGAAGGATGAGGGAGAGATAGAAACATCAACGATGAGAGAGAATCATTGATTGGCTGCCTCCTGCACGCCCCACACTGGGGATTGAGCCCACAACCGGGCATGTGCCCTGACTGGGAATCACATTGTGACCTCCTGGTTCACAAGTCGACACTTAACCACTCAGCCACGCTGTCCAGGTAATGAGCTTTCTTTTTGATGCATTATTTACCTTGGAACCTCCTTAAGAAAATATTCTAAGTCAGGAGCTATGGCAATCCACTTCTTTGCTAATAGAAAGCCACTCTGAATATTAATGTACTTATCACAAAATGGGCTAAAATATTGCTTTATATAGTATATGTTCAGTTATGTTTGCTGAATATTATCTTTAGAAGAAATTTAAAAGGGGGAATATCCTGAAAGACTAACACAATTTCTTAAATGCTGTTGATCTTAATTGCACTCTACTTTTTGGTGAATCATGAAGCAATCTCTGATTTATTTTAATGGCGCCTACATTTACAAAAAAGCCTGAGACCCAAAGGACCCCAATTGACTAATATTAATTTGTCTCACAATATAAAAAGAGAATCCAATAGGATTTTCTACCTGAAACTTAAAATAGGCTAAAAGAATCTTTTTTACTCATTAAAACATTCTTCTATTCTCTTATCTTATACTAGAGGCCCAGTGCATGAATTCGTGCACAGGTGGGGGGGGGTCCCTTGTCTGGCCAGTTATTGGGGACAACTGGGGGGGCTGGCCGGCTGGGGGGAGGGACTGTGGGAGGTTGCCCAGCCAGGGGGAGGGACCGCGGGAGGTTGGCCAGCTGGCCACGCGCGCAAGGTTGGCTGTGGGAGCACACTGACCACCATCTCCTGTGTTGAGCGTCTGCCCCCGGTGGTCAGTGCACGTCATAGCAACTGGTCGACAGATCATTCGGTCGTTCGGTCACTTAGGCTTTTATATATATAGATTACCAACTTAATCCATATGGTAACCTTTTTTTTTAAACATTTTTTTAAAAACATTTAGTTCCCCTGGATTTTTTGATGGGGAAGAAATGACAGAATAACTGACAAGGAACAGAGGCAATAGTAAATGAAAGAAATGGGAACTGACTCTAGGTATCACCCAAGAGTGGTTGTTCCATGAGGAATCAAAACAGGCACTCTGTGACCCTATGTAAATGCCACACACACACAAACACATGCCTGCTAGGAAAATGGCTTTGTAGTTGCTCCAGTGAGTTTTTCTTAGAATTACAGAACTAGAGAAGGTATTAAGAAAAGAATTTCCATTTCTTCTTTTCTTCCTCCCCAAATTCTAATTCTCTAATCTCTTTAGAGACAAATGTAAAATTTCTCAGAATAAGAAAAATGCTGTTTATGATTTTATTACTGCAGCCTCAAACAGCCTTTTCTGGCAAAAAGCTGTGGATGTCACTGGCAATGAGGGAAAAGAAGGAAAAGGAAACTATATGAAGATATATAAGAATGATGATGGATTCAAAAGCTAACAATTAGAATAGAGAACGAATTGAAAACCAAAGTAACATTTAGTCTTTGTTAGTATATATTAAGAATAAACACAACCTTAGAGGCAACAGGGACTTTACCAAGACCCAATTAAATTTTTTATTGATTGATTGATTGATTTTAGAGAGAGAGGAAGGGAAAGAGAGAAACATCGATTTGCTGTTCCACTTATTTATGCATTCATTGGTTGATTCTTGTATGTGCCCACAACCTTGGTGTACCGGGAGGATGCTCTAACCAACTGAACTACCCAGCCAGGGCTAAGATCTAATTCTTAAAGACATTTCAGTTGACAACTTCCTGACATTATTTCTGTTTCTTCTGGTTTATTTTTATTTTTTTTAAATATATTTTTATTGATTTCAGAGAGCAAGCGAGAAACATCAATGATGAGAGAGAATCATTAACCGGCTGCCTCATGCACATCCCAAGCCCACAATCTGGGCATGTACCTTGACCAGGAATAGAAACATGACCTCCTGGTCCATAAGTCAATGCTTAACCACTGCGCCTCACCGGCCCGGCTGTCTTTTCTGGTTTATGTTCACTTCCATTTTTCTATAGGCATCTCTCAAGGTACAGTATTCCTTATAGTTAGATCAAATCCCAGCTTATCCAACCTTCCTTAACAATGCTTTCTATCTACACAAATACCGTAAGCCAATATAAAGAACAAAATACAGATACATTCCTAAATAATTCCTACCTGTCTTACTCTTCCCTTGGCCTGTTACTGTATAATCTCTGGCTTTATCCGTTAGAATTATTTAGAGATAGAGAAAATATGAACGTGTTCCAAAATCCTACACCATTATTTATAACCCATTCCTCTGATTTTCTCTAGTGTGGGAATTATTTTGCTTTAATTTACACAGAAATCTCACCCTGCTTCTTTTCCTTTAGTCCCTTTCTGCCCCAAACTGTTCACTCCAGCCTGTCAACTGCCACAGAATCAAAATGTTCCTTTCATCTCAGGAGAGGGGGAGGGGAGCTGTGTTTAAATCTTTCCCTCCCTTGGTCTCCCCCAGATTGGTAGGCTGTACCTGGTAATGTTTTCTCTCAAGGCCTGGCATACAGGTGGTATTCAATATAAATTGTGTAAGAAGAAATAATAGATTGCTAATTTGATTTTACGGCTCCATCTGCCTATCAGACCATCACATTGCTCTTACACCAAATAACTTATCTTTGGCCTCATCGTAATCTATTGTTTCAAAGTTTGAAATTTAAATATTTCCTGAGATTAAAAATAAAAACATTTATTATGAAATGTTTCAGACATACACAGAGAATATTCTAATGAACTCTCATTTACTCAGCTCCAAGAAATATCAGCTCACCACAATTTTGTTTCCTCTATCTCACAAACCTCCTAGTTCAGTGATGGCGAACCTTTTGAGCTAGGCGTGTCAGCATTTTGAAAAACCCTAACTTAACTCTGGTGCCGTGTCACATACAGAAATTTTTTGATATTTGCAAAAAACAAAGATTTATATTTTTGATATTTATTTTATATATTTAAATGCCATTTAACAAAGAAAAATCAACCAAAAAAATGAGTTCGCGTGTCATAGGTTCGCCATTACTGTCCTAGTTACTTGTTTATAACGCAAAGGAGCTTCTTTTTTATTGTCAGATCTGTACATTCTTTCTCAAAAAGCCAAACCATTAACAATTACTTTAGGATGACTCAAGGAATTTATTAAATCCAAATGAATTAGTTTTAGTAAAATAAACAAGGATATAAAAGTTAGAGAGTAAGAATTTATGAAATTTAGTTTTGGTTACACACATTGTAGCATTCAAGGTTTGGGATGAATAATAAAACACAAGGTAGATAGATGAACACCTATTTTATAATCTGAGGATAAAGCAAAGTATGAAAAAAAGTGATTTGAGGGGACAGATTAAGGAAGGCCTTTTAAAATATAGGGTGTCCCAAAAAATGTATACACACACACTTTGAATAATTATAAAGGTAGTGTTTATTAAAATCCATATCATTTTCAAAATTGAGCTATCAGCTGTTAAAGTGTGTATACATGTAACACCTGTAGTTGGTTAAGTTGGCTCTTTTTCTTTTTAAAGATGAGGGTGAATTATGAGTTGCTTTGGGCTGACGAGAAGAAAACCTCTGAGTGACAGGACTTAGATCATTAGATATCATTAGTGAGGCAAGAGTTTAAGGAAGCAGGAGAAAATGGCAACTGGAAGACGTGGAGAATGACCTCAGTTAAGGGGAAGGATTACAGATGAGAGCGGATTCAGTGAGTTTTGGAGGTATCGAGGAGCAAAATATTTAGCAAACTTCGTCTATCAAGTATGTGGAGGAGTCCTTAGCGACTCCTTAGTAGTAAAAGCCATTTAATGATAGAAACTATAATAAACTACAATAAAATATCTGATATGAAATTAAAAGTGAGTTTGGTATAAGCATGTCACTTACACCCCAATAAGGAAATACAAGTTTAGTATAATAGACCAAATGGTCAAGAGCCATTTCAATGAGTGGGATCTTTGGATACCAATTTCAGTCACTCATCCTCATTACTTCTCCCAGATTCATGTCCTGGCCTGAGGCCCATCACTTTTACTTATAACCCACTCATTATTTTCTTCTGAATATAAACAAGAATTTTGTATGCACACACACATACATATACTTATATTGTGGTTACCATTGTCAAATACTATTCTATGCCCTTTATAATTATTAACTAAATTAACTAAGAAGAGGCATGGTCATCTTCCCCAAAATCAAATGATCTAAAATGATTTTCAATCTAGTAAAAACTAATAGGTTTGGTTTAAAACTTGAGAGAACAATGTGAGCTCTTATCATTACAAGGTGGATTCCCAAGACATTCTCTGTCCCTACTTTGCCACACAACTATATCTGAGAAAGAAGGTGCTAGTAGAAAAGATTTACAAAGGCGTTGGGCCTTTTCCCAGAATCCTCATAACAACCGTTCTGCTTTTATTTATTTGTTTTATTTATTTATTTATTTTTTATTTCAGAGAGGAAGGGAGAGGGAGAGAGAGATAGAAACATCAATGATGAGAGAGAATCATTGATCGGCTGCCTCCTACATGCCCCCCACTGGGGACTGAGCCTGCAACCCTGGCATGTGTCCTTGACCGGAACCGGGGACAGTCAGTCCACAGCTACTTCTCATAACAACCGTACTTTAAGTTAATAACCCTCTTCACCAAGCAATTTCCTACCCCTTAGAAAATTGCAAACTAATGGGAAAGTCACTTTTAGATTCCCTTACGGTTAGATTAAAAAAAAAATACAAAAAACAAATCTGTCTTAATTGCAAGAAAGATTAGCCTGTGTAGGTAGTATTAAGAAGCACTATGGTTCACCTATTTCACATTTCAATAGTATGCTACCAAACCAGAGTTTAGAGCCTGTTTATACAAAATGACTCCACATTTTAAGGACACATTTTGGAATCTTGCCACCCATATCACACAGGTGCAAACTGTCTTCCTAAAAAATTACCAGTGGCTCAAGTCACACGAGTATCCTATTTTACACAATAGTTTTATTCCTGAGAAAATACACGTTTGTTTAAAACACACATACAAAAATCAATCCCTACTTTAAATGCACCGAAGTGCCTCTATTTGAGACTCAAGATGAGCCTCCTTTGACATAATTTTTGCAAATAATCACCTCCTATATATACCTCATTAGTAACTTAAATATGTCATGGGTTGTCACCCTTACTCTAACAGTAACTTTGGCAACAGAAGAGGAATTCTCCAATGTATAGAATCTATTACAAAATTAGGGCTCAAACGAGTAGGAATCTTTTACAGACTCTGGCATTCTAGGTAGTCAATATTTACTGAATAAATCAATTGGGCTCGTTTTAATTAACTTCTGGACAATCTCTTTACCTTTACTTAACTACTGTTACAGGTAACCAAACCTTGAGGTGTGGCATTTTATACTGGGCAGAGAGAGAGAGAGAGAGAGAGAGAGAGAGAGAGATCACATGTATCGTGTAGCTGGTGCACAGTATTATATTAATAGTTATAACACCACCAAGAATTGTTATGAAATGAAGTTCACATTAACTGACTTCCAGAAAGTCTCTTTAATTTTAATTGGACCTTCTGTGAAGTGACACTTCCAAACGCTAGGTACTAGCACATGGGGAGCAAGGCTGGAAAAAAAGAAAAGAAAGGCTCCATGAGCTCGGTTTTCAATCTTCTCTCCTGGACTACAGCCAGGAAGCGCCAGATGCCAGAGGCATAATGAAAAAGTGGGAAAACTTAAGATCTCGGATTGGCTTTCTTCCCTTTAAAAAAAAAAAATGTGCGAAACTAAAATGTGATTAGTCATGCATCCCTTCAGGGTTGCAGGCAATACACGCTCAGACTCCACGGTGATTTAAACGTGAGGAGGGGGAAACAGGTTTTTGTTTTGTTTGTTTTTCCTCTCCTTTTTTTTCTTTTTTTCTTTTCCCCAAGCCCTATTCCTTCAGAACACAGAGGGGGCTCCAGAGAGAAAACCAGAGAGAAAAGCTAGCGGCGGGATCATTAGGGTTTGGCTAGTTAGCGGAAACCTGATCCGGACCTGGGTAGAGAGATGTCTGCCTGGTCCCCACGCCAAAATATGCCCGGGGATACCGCCAATCCACACCGCTTTCCCCGTTCGGCCCAGGGAGCCCGCAGGTCGGCCAAGAGCTTGCCCTTGGGCATCTCAAGGTGACCAGACCGGCGGACGCCCGGAGCAGCGGTAACAGCCAGGAGAGGTGCTGACGAGGCTGCACTCGTGCGCAGGCCGCCAGCCTCACCCGCTCCCGGGCCCCACTTCACCTCGTACGTTGGAAGATAGGCTCATGGCGCCGTCGCTTGCAGGGCGTGTGCACCGGACACTGAACCCCAACCGGCTAGCGCGGACAGGCCGAGTCAAGGTGCGAAAGGCGTCCTAAGGGCACCGACTCCGGGCAGCGACCGCGGCTACCGCGCAGGCGCCGCGGCAGTCCGTAAGCACGTGCGTATTCTCCACCCCGGCTGCTGCTGAGCATGCGCAGAGCGGCGTCCGGGGCCTCCAGGAAGTCCGCGGTCCGGTTTTGACAGCTGCCGGAGGAGGGGGGAGGAAGGGAGCTAGAGAGGTCGCCACTGAGTTTGCGCAATCTTGCGGGGCGGGGCCCGGAGTCCGGTGGCAGGGCCTCGGGAATAGGGAGTCCAGGCCAGATTTTACGTCTCTCCCAGTGTGAGGGTTTCCCCAGGCACTGGACAGGTGTTAGAGAGACATTTGCCACGATCAGATATCTAAGATCTTACCTAAAAATTTCTTGTCCAGACCGGTACCTGCGAGGCCGAGTCGACCTTTCTTACAGAATGCCAGTGGCAGACACAGAAATCAAGTGCTGAGCCCCATTCCGGAATCTCTCCTCGCTCCCGGTGCACGTCCCTTTCTTCTGCCTTTGACCCAGCTGTTGAGGACCTTGGAACCTGTGCTAAGGGGTCGAGTGGGAGAGAGAGAGAACAGGCTAATTTAAAAAAAAAAGTGCTTGAATTTTTTTTCAGTACAACTTGGGGGGAAAAAAGATTATTCTCTCCCATCTACAGTGTGAAATCAGTGTCAGTTCCAAAATTTTTTATAAGAGCCGTTTAGGGGCACCAAAGGGCTAACAGCGGTTCTCAACCTGTGGGTCGCGACCCCCTCGGCGGTCAAACGACCCTTTCACAGGGGTCGCCTAAGACCATCCTGCATGTCAGATATTTACATGACGATTCATAACAGTAGCAACATTTCAGTGATGAAGTAGCAACGAAAATAATTTTATGGTTGGGGGTCACAACATGAGGAACTGTATTTAAAGGGCCAGAAGGTTGAGAACCACTGGGCTAGGATGAACTTGCAGGGTGTTTTGAAGGCGCGTCTTCTAAGGCGCTGCCTGTCTTGACTATCGTTTCTGTGTGGGGTGGCAGCGGCAGGGAGTGGATGCAGGGACGGGGTGGCCTCCCCAGCCACCCTGGGCGCGGCCGCGGCCGCCCAACTCTCCTGACCCGGCACTGGCCGCTCCTCGCCGCTGGGAGCCCGCGGCGCCTGGGAGCCAACCCCCGGGAGCGCTGAAACGCGCCCCGAATGAATGAAAGCGCCACCGCAGCCACGGTCTCCGAACGCCCACCCGGGGTTGGCGAGTGGGGGACCGCGAGTGTGCGCGCCCCGGCCGGGGGTCCCGGCGGCGGCCTCCGGGCATGCTCAGTGGCGGCGGCGGCCGCGGATCGCGCAGTCGGAGGCTCGCGGCGGCGAAGCGGGCGGCGCTGACGCG